GGAGTTCTCGCCGGATGCCCGAGGTACTGGCGCTATTGCCCGAAGATTGTCGAGGGCATTCCAGGCCCGCCAGTGGCTTCGGGGGGCTTCGGGGATGCGTGCGGAGACATGCGGACACCTCCGTCGGAGGCCGTCGGAGTTCTGAGGAGGAGGAACCGCGCGCGTCGGATTTCTGAGGAGGCCGCGGACGACCCGCGCGCGTCGCTGGGACCCTCTCGGGGCGACCAGCGCGCGTCGCGGGAACACGTTGCTGCGTTCTACTCAGCGCCTCGCTCGCCCGTCGTCGCTCTGCGCAGCGGCCACAGCCGTGCCCGCTATCAGCCAGCCAGCTAGCTCTCTTTGCTCCGTGCAGCGGACGACCCGCGCGCGTCGCTGGGACCCCCTGCATGGCGACCTGCGCGCGTCGTGGGGATTCCGCGCTGCGCTGCGCCCGCAGCCTTTGACTTTGGATTGCGCGGGCAGAAATACAGGAACAAAAAGGGAAGGAAGCGGGCGCGATCCTCGTGAGGGGCGTGCCGACACGAGCGTCGCGGCGTGCGGGCGTTGCCGTCGGGGTTCCCGGGGAAGCTCCCAGCGGCGTCCACGCTCAGTGTCACGAGTACCCAAACCCAGGCGTTTCCGAACCGTCCACATGCATATGCATTTACACTACAGTCAACCATGATAGTAAGGGTGGGACAGTTCTCCAAGGCTGCTCTTGCATCCGTGTCTCTTCGGTATTCGGCATCCTTCGGGATTATGCTGCGCTCCGCGTTCCAATGCCTTCGCATCCTTACCGCGCATCCTTACTATCCTGGTCGAGTGTAGGCGTACCCATGCTCGCACTCACGTACACATATACATATAGATATACATATATATATATATGTGTATGTATGTATGTATGTATGTATGTATGTATGTATGTATGTATGTATGTATGTATTCATTCATTCGCGTGCAGACTCATGCACACTTAGACTAATTTGCGCTCAGACCCACCCGCGCTCAGCCTCTCGTAATTAAACATTTTGGTTTCGTTCGTGTTGTGTGCCCCGCCACACAATTCGGCACGCCCCTCGTACGGTTTCGGATCCGTGGCCCCATAGGGAACGCAATTGAGGAAAATAGTTACAATTGAGGCGCTCACAACTGCATATGGTTGGGTTGTTCGCCAGGATCGTGTTAAAACGAATGTGCGCGGTATTGAGGCGAAAACCACATTTTGAAAAGGAGCCGCTTTCAATCCGCGAAACTCTTTGCAACTGTTCAAAGCGAGCGCTCGCGGCGCTGAGGCGAGAACTTTATTTTGACAGCGGCCCTCTCTTAATCCGTGAAGCTCTTGCAAATGTTGAAAACACCGTGTGCCCAGCGCTAAGGCGAGAGCCAACTTTGGAAAACCATCCGACCTCGATCCGTGACGTTCCCGCAAAAATTTAGATGTGCCCGGTGTGGAAACGAGAGCCACATTTGGGAAACCACCCGCCCTCAATCCGTGAAGTTCGCGCAGATGGTTCAAAACGAATGTCCCCAGTGCGAAGGCGAGAGCCACATTATGAAAACCACCCGCCCTCGATCCGTGACGCTTTCGCAAATTTTGAAATATACACGGCGTTAAAGCGAGAGCCTCATTTGGAAAACCACCCGCCCTCAATCCGTTCGGGGGCGGCAAAGAGGGGGGTGATGACTAGGGGGGGGGTGGATATCATGGCGGGGGCCATGATATTTCCCCAGATTTCATGGCGCCCCTTTTTATTTCATTACGTCCCTGGCCCCCCCGCTGGGCCGCGCACGTGCCGCCGGTCATGATTTGCACCCCCCCCTCTTGGACACCCCCCTCTTGGCCGTTCCCGATCCGTGAAGCTCCCGCACATGTTTAAAACGAACACGCCCGGTGCGGGGGGCGAGAACCACACTTGGAAAACCAACCGCCCCCAATCCGCGAAACGCTTGCAGATGTTTGCGACGAGTGCGCGCGACGCTAAGGCGAGACCCACATTTGGGAAACCATCCGCCCTACATCTATGAAATTGCTGTCGATATTCAGCTTCAGTTTCATGAGTGGTGGGGAAGCCTCAGGCGAAACACCCAGTCCGCCCTAACAAGTGCCTTCGGGGTGCGACACAGAGAAGTTTTTTGATAAGGATCAGGAGTGGAGGAGGAGGAGGAGGAACAAGGAAAGGAACAGGAACAGGAACGGAGACAGGAACAGGAATAGGAACAGGAACAGGAACAGGAGCAGGAACAGGAGGAGGAGGAGGAGGAGGAGGAGGAGAGCAGGGGAGGAGGAGGAGGAGGAGGAGGAGGAGGAGGAGGGGGAGAAGGAGGAGGGGGGGGGGAGGAGGAGGAGGAGAGGAGGAGGAGGAGGAGGAGGAGGAGGAGGAGGAGGAATAGGAGGAGGAGGAAAAGGAAGAAAAAGAAAAGGAATAATGATAATACTAAGAAGAAGCAGAAGACAAAGACGAAGACGAATAAGAAGAAGAAGAAGAAGAAGAAGACGATGACGAAGAATAATAATACTAATACGAAGAATAATAAGAATAATAGTAAGAATAACAAGAATAGCACGAATAATAATACTAATAATAATAATAACAATAATACTAATACTAATAATAATAATAATAATAATAATACTAATGATGATGATGATAATAATAATACGAACAATACTCATAATAATACTACTATTAATAAGAAGAATAATAAGACGAAAAATAAGAATAAAACGAAGAATAATAAGAATGATAATAAGAAGAATAAGAAGAATAATAATAACACGAATAATAATAAGAATACTAAGAATAATAATACTAATACTAATAAGAAGAAGAATCAGAAGAAGAGGAGGAGGAGGAGGAGGAGGAGGTGGAGGGGGGGAGAGGGAGGAGGAGGAGGAGGAGGAGGTGGAGGAGGAGGTGGAGGACGATGAGGAGGAGGAGGAGGAGGAGGTGGAGGATGATGATGATGAGGAGGAGGAGGAGGAAGAGGAGCAGGAGGAGAAGGGGGAGGAGGGGGAGGAAGGAAGAGGGAGGAGGAGGAGTTTTCCCCCCTTCGTCATCGAACGCCCGATGTCGGGGGGATTTGGGAGCGGCCCTGTTTCTGAGGTGACCTCTGGTGAGCCGCTGTCGGGGGGTTCGGGGAAGCGCGGCTCGAGGGAACACCGCCGGAATCCGAATTCTCAGGGGCAGCGATGGTGGTTATTTTCTTAAACATTGTTTTGCTGATTGGCGCGAGCCCTCGCGCCCCACCCCCATGGAGTAGATCTTGGCTGTCGTTGGCGCCTGTTTCAAGCAGGTGGGGTCCCCCCCACATTGCGCACTGCTGCAGACAGTCGCAGTCAGCAGAGGTCTGGAGCCAGATCCTCCCCCCCCTCCCCCACCCCTTCCGCCCAATGTCGAGACGCCGAATACGAAAGCGGAGGCACAGGGGGGATAGGCATCGGGGAGGGAACGCAACGACCCCCCATCGCCCACTGATCGCCGATAAGGGTCAGGAGGGAAAGAAACACATAGACACAATTAATCGTCCACTCCCAGGAAAATATATGAAAATATGGGAAGTGGGGGGGAAGACAGAAACCCAGAAAATATGGGAAAATATTGGGAATCTTTTTATTTGTGTGTATTTATTTGTGTGTCCCAGGGCCCCTCCAAATGGGTCTGATAGCCCCACCCCGCCCAGGAACGTGCGAGTTCGCTATCGGAGGCAGATCGCCGATCGATCGGCGATGCATCGCCGATTCCAGGTCGATATCTCTCCCCCCATGTGCCAGTTCCCCCAACCTCGTTGTCTTTCATGCCGACGATATGATTGTTTTAACTGGCGGCTTTCCCTCGAGCTCGGCCTCTAGGTCCTGCTATCGGGCCCGGAGACCATCAACATTGCATCTGGGGCGAAGAACAGTGGCCGGGACCTCTTAGGCAGCGGACTTTCCAATCACATCGGCGGATGTCGGGGACCCATTGCGCTCCGGGCCCCGGGGTCGAAGGATCGTTCCGCATCGCCGGTGCATCGGCGATGCGGCTCGGTGTGGAGCCCGATTCTCCCTGCGCCGACGTTGCCGATGCATCGTTGACGTCGCCGATGCATCGGTGATGCAGCGACGATGCGGCGCGATCCTCCGACGCCATCTGCTCCGGCCCCATCCGGGAGGCCTCTGCGCACGCGGGCCGCCGCGGTCGGCAGAGCCACGCACCAGAAGGCCACGCCCTTGGCATCGCTCGGACGTGTGCATCTTTTCTTCGGCGAGGACCTTCGAGGAGCATCCTTGATCATTTGGCGAAAAAAAACACGCACGAAACCGAAAAAAGCACAGGGAACGGACGTCCGAGCGATGGCCAGTGTGCGTCCTGGGGGAGGGTCCCCTCGAACGCTCTTCATGTTGGCCGGCGGATGGTCTCCTGTTCTTGAATCTAGGCCTTCTAGATGAGGTCGGAGTGGGTGGGGGGGTCGGAGGATTGCGCCGCAACGCCGATGCATCGGCGATGCGGCTCGATGTGGATCCCGATGGTTTTTACGCCGACGTGGCCGACGCATTCCCGACGTCGCCGATGCATCGGCGATGCGGCGCGATCCTCCGACCCCATCTACTCGGACCATATCTGCCCAGACCCCCGACGTCATGATTTCTTCATGACGTCGACCCCCAGGGGTCTCGACCCATTCCCCGCGACCGGTTTTTCATCCTGAGTAGTTTTTTTGACGGTCCCGCGGCCCGGTAAGGGCCCCCCGAGGCCGAAGATTGCGACAAGCCAGGCGCTGTGTTTTTCGTCGAAGCTCGAGGGGTCTGGGTAGGAGGCCTCTGTGGCCTGGCATCGCTCGAACGTGCGCATTTTTTTCTCGGCGAGGACCATCGAGGAGCATCCTTGATCATGTGGCGAAAAAGCCACGCACGAAACCGAAAAAAGCACAGGAAATGGACGTCCGAGCGATGGCCTCTGTGGAAGGACGCTCTTCTGTCCCAGGTCCGACTTCAGCACAGCGCCCTGCTGGCTCACACCCCGGCGCGCCGTGCCCAGGAACGCGACGGGCCGCCCCGCCGACTCCGACGGCGCCACGGTGGCCGCCGTCTACCGCGAGGCCCAGGCCCCAGGGGGGCCCCAAGAGATTCGGGCCCGACGAAAGGGGGGGATTGGGAAGGGGGGGGGGGCGAAATTTGCTGCATGCAGCCAGTTTCGGCCCCACCGAGGGGTCCAATCCTCCACACATGGCCGCCTCCGGCGCCGGGAGGCGCCGGGAAAATCAGCTACATGAGCAGCTGATTCTCACCCCTCCCCTTTGTCCCCCCCTTTCGCCCGACCCGAGAGATCTCGAGAGCCGCCCAGGGCTCGTTTCGACTCCTCCGGTTCCCTTCGATTCGATGTCGATGGATGCCGACTCCGATTCGATTCGGCTCGGGGTTCCAATCTCGGCTCCGATTTCCCTGTGGGACGCATACCATGCCTGCCGAGTTTTCCGCCGAGTCGACTTTTCCCCGATTCGGCCGCCGATTTCTGCCGATGCGACGTATCTCGATCGCCGATCCGACTTATCGATTCGATTCTGGGCTCCCCTGGCCCAGGGCCAGGGCCAGGCCAGGCGTCCCCCCCTCGGCCCGGACCTCCAACGTTTCGAGGACCTCGAGGCGGTCTTGTCGCTTGCTGTCTCGACCCCCTGGGAGGATCGTCAAGCCACGGCTCGGGCTGAAGGGCCCGCCACGGGGAAGGGGCCCAGAATTCCGGTGACAACGTTCAGGAGGGTATAGAAGATGAGGTGGAATACCCTGACGATGGGGTAGATCCACTCGTGGAGGTTACGCTGCAACACGTACCCGTCGCCGCACTGGAGGCGGTGCTGGGTCATGAAGCCGTCCTTCAAGTCCGCTTCCAATGATACTGACACCCATCTCACAGATAGCCCTCAGCATGGTAGCTCTTCGTATGTTTGACGCGGGGTCGGCCGCGTACGTGATCCACCCACTCTTGGCCGATACCCTCGGGAGGCTGGACCAGAACATGGGAGGTAAATCGTATTTCGTAGTTAGATCAGCTCGTAGCCCGCTCCACTGCGAGCATTCCACAACCTGATGTCGTATTGATGGCCACAAGTGGCCGCAGTGTGGGCATGGTAGCCCCGTCTGGCGACGCGTCTCCGAGGAGGCTGCCCCAGAACGAAATACTGAGAGGCCGAACTTCTCGGCTATACTCAAAGAATGAAACCACTTTGTGAATACTTTGTTACTGCAGGCGTCGACATCTACCGACTCGACTTCCTCCGAATCTTTTCTGCGGGTCTCAACGATTTGAAGGCACCTGATCCTCGCTATGACCCGAAGGACATGTTGAGCTCTCTTTGAGTGAGTCCAGAATCGATGTTGAGCATCCGCCAAGCCATCCACAATCTGCAATACTCTGAAATCGTCCATATGTGAGACTTCCAGTAACGCTCCACGTTCTTCCGAAAATCTTATATACTCCAAGCCCAAGGTTCGGGCATGTACTTGGATAGAATTCTCTAAGAAAGATGACCACACCAGCTTTTCATCATGTAGACGTCTGAAGGCGAAGAGGCTGCACGAATACACTGGGTGGAGCATAATATTCTGGCACCACCATCTGCCCAGGCACCACCATGTGCTCTGGGTTCGCCATACTGCTCTCGCCAATAACTTTGCCGTCCCTGTCGGTGGAGGTGTCATAATAGGGGCTCCCCACGTCCACAGAGGTCTGAGGTATGTATAAGCCAACCGCAATCTCACCATGCAAGATCCAGGCACAGACTGAAGAATAGAAATCCCAGTGAGTAGCTTGGCCCATTTATCTTTTGGTATGATGGCCCGCGTCACGTCAGTAGGGCAAGCGAGAAGACCAAGGTGTTCGATCTGCTGCGGCTCCGCATCCGTGGTGGACCATATCTGCGTCTTCTTGTTGTTTGCTTTGAAACCCACGTCACTGTCGAAGGTTGATGTTTGAGCCATATCGTCCAGCAGCCCCTGCGGGCTATCTCCAACGATGTAGCGGTCATCCATGAAGCATCCCGAGGGGCCCGACGTGATCCAAGGGACCAGGGTACTGATCATAGTCCCAGGTGCCGTACTGTCTCCTTGTGGCAAACCTCGTTCTGCGTATATTGCCTTCTCTGCAAGTTCCCCGTTGAGGCTGCACCAACGAGGTCCTTTCCATGCCGATTTGCATATGTATTGTACCGCCAGAGGATAACGTGAACGCTCCATCGCAGCACTCGCAATTTCATGAAGGATATTATCATAAGCACGGCTGAGATCCAACTCACATCCCTCCGAGCTCAATTCGCAATGTCGCAACCACTGACTGATCGCGTGAGTGACTGAAATATGCTTTCGATTAGCCCATTGGCCCTCTGGTGGTTCAGGTGCTGCAAATGCTAGAGCTCTGAGCCAAATACGTAGTAACACGCTGCCCACGCTGATGGGCCTCGTGTCGTCCTCACCCTTGGGCAAGCCTGCCACTCTCCAGGAGAATACCAGATCGTGGAGTTCTCCTGGTGGGCAACCTTCATGTTCAATGCAATACCTTGAAGTATCGCACCACAGCGTGTAGAGCTCGGCGATGATCTCTGGGTACAGGTCTGCCAGGATACGAACTTCTCTGAAAGACCACCCATCCAATCCAGCACAGCCCTTGGAACTTCTCAGCGCTTCATCAAACTGTTCCTTCGTTGGCAACCACATCTCATGTAATGTCGACTTCGGAAATTCGACTTGATCAGCACGATGTTGCCAGGCTCGAAGGTGTGCTTGCTTGTCAATATTCTCAGGCTTCCACTGTGCCTCCCACTCTTCGGCGAACTGAGAGACATGGCAGGATGAAGCAGGGGGTGCTTGCTTGAACATGGGCGTGGCCACCTTGTACACCTCCGTGGACCACGCCGCAAACTTTTCTTTCCAAGATCTCTGGGCTTCTCGTTGTAATTTGATATTCTCCACTGATATGGCTGCCGTCAACCACTGGAGACAATCCGCATAGCAAGGGATACCTTCTGCTTTCATGTTGACGATACCCTCGAAGGCTGCTCTGGCAATATCCATGAAGTGCCGTGGGGATACCTCAGCCATCGCTGCAGTTCCCTGCCTGAGTACCTCCGAGAAGCGACGATGTAGACGAAGAAGACGCCTGTGTGCAATACTTTGTTCTGGTCTAAACCGAGGTCCATGTGCTGCTGGCCTCTGCGTAGGTCGGGAGCCCTTGCTCCGTTCGGGTAATCGGTCGATCTCCACCAACTTTTTGTCAACTGCGATGTTGAGTGCTGCCTCAGCCCGTTCGTGCCAGTAACGCCACCTCGTGACCAGCGGGACGGCCGTGTCGTTGTTGAGATCCAGGTCGATGTCCCCGTTGATATGTGGAGCCGCGCACACTGCATCTAGCGATTCCTTCAAGAGGTACTTGTACTCGGCCGTAACCGTCCTGGTGTTGACCACCGGTAGGAAAGAGGCCGTGTGGTGTAGTCGGTACCGTGGGATAGCAACGTATGGTATCTCCAATTGGTACTTGACCATTGCGTGGTGTGGGATCCCTGGCAAGAGCTTGGCACCCATGTACTTGGGTGGAGCATCCTGCGGACTTCCCCAAGATAACGCCCTTGTCGGGGCCGTACCTGTCGCTGTGGTCACCTGGGCAGATATGTCGTGCGATACGTCTAGCTGCCATCCAATGTCCAATAAAGTATTATATGAAGCTTTCCAATTGAGGTCCCCTATGATGTAGAGGGGGTGGCCCAGGTGGCCCAGTGATTTGGCATAATCCAGAGCTGTCAAGAACCATGGTCGGTCATACCATTGAGGTCCATACATGCTCAAGATTGTCGCTTTGGTAGTTCTGATCCCAACCATACGATGGTCGAGCTTGTCGTCCCTGATGACGCTGATCTTTCCCATGGCCCGTCGCCACAAGATAGCACAGCCTCCCTGTGTCGTTGCTACTCTTACCCCAGGAGGAGGGGGCTTCGAACACGCTGCACCCCACCCTCGTCGGGCACAGAAGTTGATCAGCCACCTCGGCCTCATGTCAGGAAGTCGTATCTCCTGTAGACACAGTACGCCCACATCGTCCGCGACGTTGTCCAGAATCTCCGACAATCTGGCCTTTGAGATGCTGGTGACGTTGATTGTAGCTACCTGCAGGCGTTCGATATTCTCGCCCTGGTCATTCTCCGAGCCCTGGGGCTCCTTCCCGTTGTCTTGATCTTCAACTTGGTCAACCCCATGGTCAGGGTATTCCACTTCATCTTCTATATCGGTCTTCAAGCGTTTGGAGGATCTCGGACTCCGCGTCGATGGTCTCCTCAATGGTGTTGGTGCCGTCGTCGTTCCTGTCGCCATCCTCGAAGATGCTGGCATGGCGTCCGCAGCCTGGGGTGTTCCCTCGCATTCGGGGCTTCCCCAGGCTTGCAAAACATGGCGACGCTGCCTGGGGTGTTCCCTCGCATTCGGGGCTTCCCCAGGACTTGCGTCCTGACGCCGCTGAGCCGACCCACACCGCTGTCTTTTGGCCTCCCTGTGCACGTCGAGGCAGTGATCTGCAAATACAGTCTTTGAATTCGAAGAACTAGAAAAATCAGTCTTTGGAGCAAGTTCAGAAACTGCTTGGTCTGCACATACAGCCTTTGAATTCTGGGACGGGTTCTCAGCACTTATGTCCGTGACCCTTGCTTTCTTTGAAGCCGTAGTAGCCCCTGATGATGAGGCCCTCGATGCTTTCGCATTAGTCGAAACTTTCTTTTGCCGCTTGGGTAGTGGTTGCCCCTGGGAGTCATCGTGACCTTCAGCACGTTGGCCTCCTCCTCCCAGGAGCGGATCCCGTCACGACGATGCTGAGGCTGCTGCTGCCTCCTCCTGCTCGGGCACCTTACTGGGAGCCACTGCTGCAGGTCTGCGTAGCATCCGCATCAGCTTCCTCCTCTTGTAGTACTCTTGGCGCTTGGCCTTCATCTCTGGTGTACGTTGTCTGCGTTTCTGCTTGTCCCGCGTCCTCTTCTGTGCCGCCTCGATCTGGTCCGCGTAGTCCCGACCGATCATCCTGGTCCAGACGTCGCGCGTGGCCTCCTTGATTATGCGAGGGTCTCCTGGTCGC